GTTCATAGATTTCCATTTCAAATTGAGTACGAGAACCATAGTTATCGAATTGCATGGATCCGTAATGAAAGTAACTATCGTTTAGAAATGATGCCTGTAATTTTATTTTATGTGAATGAGATTGTGGTTATGGCTTGAAAAAAAAAACTGAAAAGTTTTACCTGGCCCATTATCCTCCGAATGTATTCGCCAAAAGGCCAACGACCCATTTCACCACTGAAGTCTAAATTCTCACAAGTATACTGAGGAGGATCCTCTATAATATAGTGTGTGGTTATATTTTTTAGAGCCAAATAGTATAACATCACAGCATCGTGTATTAGTTTGGGTAATAACTTTTGGCTTGGTTCATTATTAACTTGATTTAAATTTGGCAACTAAAGGGAATAAAATATTAATAAAAAATAAATATTTTTTATGTCAGCAATATATATTAAACCAGATAAGAACGTATCAAAGTGGGAATAGTCCAATAATTACTTACGCCACTTTGGGCATAAGCAGGAGACGCTGTTGTTATAATATGGGCATTTCTTGACCATAGTATCTTAAGATTAATGGGGTTTTATAAACTTTGATACGACAAAAATATGACTATTTGGACCACAGTTAAGTTGGACAAAATTAGCTTAAATTGGAAAATAGGTAGTATCTGCCCAAATTATAATCATCGGTTTGGTGTATGGGAGCTACAGTAAAATGTGGACCGATGTATAGTATTCAAAGATCTATCTATTGGTCTCCTGTATACGGCGGTGCTCGATGCCACATTAAAAGCATATTTCTCATTCTAAAATTATTTTTGCCATACTTCTCCTACCAAACTCTATATGATACCCTTCACCACTTTGGATCCTTAAAATCGAATCTAATTATACAATAACCTGTAGATAGAACCGACATATTATCTTTAGAGGACCTTTGAAATGTAATCGGACGAAAGTAAATGTGTGATCTTCACAGATATTTGATTCTATTAAAAAACCCCATACGCATACCGAGAAAAACTATTTATGTAAATTTGGACCTAATTGTGTTATAGTAAAATGTGGACCAATGTACATTATTCAAAGATCTATCTATTGGTCTCCTGTATACGTCGGTGCCCTACGCCAAATTAAAAACATATATCTCATTCTAAAAACCAGTAAGGACGGGGCCGACTATATGATACCCTTCACCACTTTGGGTATATTCAACAGATGAATCTTAACAGACGTCGCATTTTTGAAGAACCAGTAAAATGAAATTGGACCCATAAACATGTCTTTCTGCAACCTATACAAAATTTTTCACTTGGTCAGATATAGAGTTGATTCTTTTCAATGGGACAAAATTATGTAAATCAATTTAAAGCATGTATCAATCGGATATCCGTTGATTATTTGGATACATATCTGATAAACATGAAGAGTTTGGTGCGCCATTTACTTCAAATAGGACAAAAATATGTATACAAGCTATATCAAAAACTAAGCCGATTTCATCGAAACTTGTCACAGAATTAAATAAAACTTTCCACATGCTAGGTTATGTAAACTATATATCTTTGGGTCTTTGGTGCATATTTTACTTAAAATCTGAAGAAACTATATATAAGAACTATATCTAAATCTGAACCAATTTCAACAAAACTTGTCACACGTTATCTCATAATAACTTCAATAAGTTGTGCAAAATTTTGTGCCAAGCGGACCCACCTGGGAAATTCGGTGCAGCATTTATATCTAACTTATAGGTTATACTAAGTGCATTACGAAATATATATGTGGACGAAAATGTATATGGGAGCTATATTTAAATTTGGAGCGCTTTTCAGGAAACTTACCACACATCATTCTATACTTCATTCAGTACGATATGGCAAATTTCGTGCAAATCGAAAGATATAGAGGGACACTGATGCACTATTTATCTAAAATCGGACGAAAATATATATGGGAGCTATATCTAAATCTGAGCCGATTTTCACGAAACTTAACACACATCATTGTAGACTTTATTCTGTACGCTGTACCAAATTTCGTGGAAATCGAAAGATATATAGGGACTTTGGTACACCATTTTCCTTTAATCGGACGAAACTATATATGAGAGCTATATCTAAATCTGAACCGATTGTCACGAAACTTAGCACACATCATTCTAGACCTATTTCATTATGCTATGCCAAATTTCGTGCAAATCCAAGGATATATAGAGACTTTGGTGCACCATTTCTATTAAATCGGCCGAAAATATATATGGGAGCTATATCTAAATCTGAACCGTTTCTCACGAAACTTAACACACATCATTCATTAATTCAATACGCTATGTCAAATTTCGTGCAAATTGAAGGATGTATAGGGACTTTGGTGCACCATTTACCTAAAATCGGGCGAAACTATATATGGGAGTTATATCTAAATCTGAACCGAATCTTAGCAGACATCATTCTAAACCTAATTCAGTAGGCTATACCAAATTGCAACTCGAAAGATATATAGGGACCATTTACATTAAATCGGACGAAACTATATATGGGAACTATATCTAAATCTGAACCGATTTTCTTCAATTTCAATAGGGTTCGTCCTTTCATCCAAATCGGATGATAAATGCGACCTGTACTTTGTTGACAAAAATACATGGACGGACAGACTAGAAAACAGACATGCATAAATCGACTCAGAAAGTGATTCCCTGCATATTCTCAAAAGGAACTATGGGTCTATCTCGATTATTTTTCCCTGTTACAAACATATGCACAAAGACATAATACCCTGTACCACAGTGTGATGAAGGGTATAAAAATTGAACAACCGTGGCGTGTACCATTCGGTATAATGCAGCACAGTGCGCTATGCACAATTTTATTTCGTGTATCTGAAAAAGACGTAGTCTCTTCGGTGTACCATTTACATAAAATCAGACGAAAATATGAACCGATTTAGCAACTTTAATACACATCACTCTGAACCCACGTCTTCCCAACCATAGGCTCTTCGGTGCACCATTTACATACAGCGCAAAATGTTGTCTCAGTCGGACAAATATTGGGAGGACCTAAAATTAGACGAAACTAGCGAAGCTATATATAAATCTGAACCGATTTCCAAAAAACTCTGCATATATCAATAATGACCTATTTCAGTAGGCTTTGCCAAATTTTCTCAATCAGACAATCCTAGTGAGTTTGGTGCATCAGTTACATAAAATCGGACGAAAATATATAGAGGAGCGATCTGAACCGATTTTCTCCACAAAGACATAATACCCTGTACCACAGTGCGGTGAAGGGTATGAAAATAAAATCATACTTACATTGGTAGGCATCTCTTTAAATCTCACCGCGGTAATGTTTAGAGCAAACGTTTCATTATTTCTTAATGGCTCCAAAATACCTTCCAGATCTTCCAAATTTGTTAAAAATAAATGCTAAAAAATAAAAACAGTTTTTCACATTATTACATTTCAAACACATACACTCGCACAACTTACATTAAATTGCCCAGTCATATCAAACGGTATCGAGGCATTTAACATTTCCACTAATATATCGGCTGGGCAGTCTAAAATTACCCTTCGATCACCTTTCATACTCTTCCATAAATTTCGATAATCATCTCCCTTACGATATTTTCGCAAACGAACAGCATCAATATAGAGATCTCTTAATTGAATAATATCCTGTAATCTCATCGGAGCGGTATCTGTAATAAATTATTTCATTATCAGTATAAACGTATTAAATGCGTAGAAATCTCTTAAATCACCATCATCGATGTCGTAGACCAAATTAAATTTCCTCCAACCGTAGTTGTGAATAATATCGGAATAGGCTTTGGAAATCATTTGTTGTGCCGGATAGACATTCACTGTTAACTGATGGCCAGCCTTTTGTTCCTCAGGTTCCTCGATAATGGTATCGAAAAGGATGTTTGGTATACCAGTTATATTTGCGAGTACTGCAACTACGTCTGAAATAATATGGGAAGATTCTTATGAATGCGTATGAAGTTAATATTAACTATATCCCATATATATATATTTTTTAATCTAACATGAACCGATACTACTTCATCTGATCCAAACTTTGTGGATCGTAATATCTTTAACAAAATTATATCAAATCCAGGGCATAGATTTAGTGCAAATATGACATCTATTGATCTATTCTTCCTAGGATCTCCGCACAGTGTTCCGAAGTAACATAAACATGATGTGTTTTAAGTCAAAATTATATCTATTTGTCATATCTACGTATAATCGAAAGTAAGTATATCAGTTAAATTGTTCTCAAAAGACAAAGGTCGGTATATGGTGTCCTATGCCACTTGGCAATGATGCGCCACGCAATGATGCACCTAAGATTTATAATGTAAGTTATAGTTATACATAACTGATTTAGATAAATTTTACGACATTTCTTCTTTTGTGCCTTATGTGTACAATTTTAATAAAAAACCAGTAAGGAAAGTAGTAAAGTCGGACGGGGCCGACTATATGATACCCTTCACCACTTTTGGTATATTCAACAGATGGGATCCTAACAGACGTCGCATTTTTGAAGGACCATTAACATGAACTTAAACATGTCATTCTGCAACCTATATTAAATTTTGGTCAGATATAGAGTTGCTTCTTACAATGGGACAAAATTATGTAAGTAAATTTAAAGCAAAATATCGAAATCTAAACTGATTTCATCGAAACTTGTCACATGTTCGGCCACATTTTGAGTTCTTCTTTTACTTATAAATCCACATTTGCATAGCGTATTGAATTTCGTGCAATGGAAGGATATATAGGGACTTTGGTGCACGATTTACCAAAAATCGGGTGAAACTATATATGGGAGCTATATCTAAATCTGAACCGATTTTCACAAAACTTAGCACATATCATTCTAGACTTAATTCAGTACGCTATGCAAAAAATCTTGCAAATCGAAAGATTAATAGGGACTTTAGTGCATCATTTACCTAAAATCGGGCGAAACTATAAATGGGAGCTATATCTAAATCTGAACCGATTTTCATGAAACTTGGCACACACCATTCTAGACTTAATTCTGTACGCTATACCAAAAATCGTGCAAATCCAAAGATTTTCTGGGACTTCGGTGCACCATTTACCAAAAATCGGGCGAAACTATATATGGGAGCTATATCTAAATCTGAACCGATTTTCACGAAAATTAGCGCACATCATTATAGACTTAATTCAGCACGCTATGCAAAAATTCGTGCAAATCGAATGATTTGCAGGGTCTAAAGTCCGTATATCGGACAAAAATATATGTGGGAGCTATATCTAAATCTGAACCGATTTTTCCCAATTTCAATAGGGTTCGTCCTTGGGCCAAATAAATGAGCTGTACCAAATTTCAGCCAAATCGGATTATAAATGCGACCTGTACTTTGTTTGCAATTGAACATCAACAGACGGACGTAGGGACATTCATAAATCGTCTTAACAAGTGATTCTAGGTATATTCTCAAAAGGTGCCAAGTGTCTATCTCGATTCCTTTTGCCTGTTACAAACATATGCACAAAGACATAATACCCTGTACCACAGTGTGGTGAAGGGTATAATAAAATCGGCCAAAAATATGTAAAGGCTTATCCATTTCGTGGTTTAAAAAGTAGGTACTGAAATTCGACATAATTAGATATAACAATTATATATGTTCGTCCGATTTTATATAAATTTGTCCTATAAAGACAAACTTTGAAAAATCCTTCAATGGGTCAGGAATTAAATTGTTTGGCAAAAAGTCAATTTAACGTAGAGAGGAAAAAAGTTATAAATTTCAAATCTGGATATTTTGAGTTTTACACCAGTAATATTCTATATACTTGCTGGTCACGGTTTACAAATGACATAAATTCAAAATCAAGTTATTATGAATATCAATTATACCCTACGTCAATTACAAAAATATAAAACGGCTCTAATCGACATTAACATGGCAAAGATCAGGCTTATCTGGTCCCTCTTTCATCTCAATTGTATACACTGACCTCCCCGTAGCTAATTTTATCACCCCTTGAAATAGTAAGCTGATATGTGCCGCGAGTTCATCCATAAGAACTATAAATAAGAGAAAAAGCGTTAAGTTCGGCCGGGTCGAACTTTGGATACCCTCTACTTTGCCCATCCTATTATTTCTTCCAAAATTAGTTCAAGTTCGAACATGGGGAATATCGGCCCACTCCTTCTGGTACCTCCTACACAGGGGCTGGGCCTAAATGCGGGTTACATTTCATATATATATATATATAGTTAATTATCGAACCTTATGTTCTAGTTTTTTCGTATCTTCCGCAGATGAAATGATTACAACAGAGTCTTAGAAACAAACCAAAAAACGGAACAAATCATATAACTATTTTAACATGAACCCATATAACCCCTATATGGGGACGACCCCAAAAAGGGGGCGAATATTAAAAATTTTTGGTAGGGAGAGTTGTTACCATAGACAACAACAAGATACCAAATTGCAGCGAATTCGGTTGAAAAACGCGCTCAAGAACCCCAAAATACCGAAAATTGGGGGTACCCTTATATGGAGGCTATCCTAAAAAATTGACCTATTTTAATAACTTTTTGTGGAGAGATTTGGTACTTATTAAGAATTCAGAATACTATACTACAGCCAATTCGGTGGAAAAATACGAACAAAACCCCCAAAAATACTGAAAATTAGGAGGTACCGTTATATGAGGGCTACCAGAAAAAGTGGACCTATATTTATAATTTTTTGTGCAGACATTTAGTACCCAATAAGAACTCAATGTACCTAATTTCAGCGTATTCGGTTGAAAAACGCGCTCAAGAACCCCCGAAAGTTGGGGGTACTGTTATAAACGTGGACCAATATATATCACATCTTCGAACTTGACCTGCCTCCAGACAAAAGACAAACCTATGCAAAATTTCAGCACCCTATCTCAATTCCTTCAGAAGATATCGTGATTTCAACAGACGGACGGACATGGCTATATCGTCTTAGAATTTTACCCTGATCAAAAATATATATACTTTACAGGGTCGGAAATGAATATTTCGGTGAATATTTCCGTCCGTCTGTCCGTCTGTCTATCCATGTTAAATTTTAAACAAAGTACAGGTCGCATTTATTATCCGAATTGGATGAAATTTGGTACAGCTCACTTATATGACCCAAGGACGAACCCTATTGAAATTGGGAAAAATCGGTTCAGATTTAGATATAGCTCCCATATATAGTTTCGTCCGATTTAAGGTAAATGGTGAACAAAAGTCCTTATATATATTTGGATTTGCACGAAATTTGGCACAGCGTACTGAATTAGGTCTAGAATGACGTTTGGTAAAGGGTACTTAATTAAATCTAGAATGTTGTTGCTAAGCTTCGTAAAAAGATCCATAGCTAGGCCGAGTGGCACAACGTACTGAAGTAATATAAATTAGTCTCTGGCAAGATTCCCTGAAATCGATTCAGATATAGATATATAACAAACACGCGATGTTTGTTAGGATACATATGCAGAATATACCCAAAGTGGTGAAGGGTATCATATAGTCGGCCCAGTCCGACTTTACAACTTTCCTTACTGGTTTTTTCATATATTTGATCAGCAATTTTGGATATCTGATTTCACATTTGTAATCAATGACCACAGATCAATAAAACGTGTTCATTTTTTTTTTGTTTGTTTTTTTTTTAGAAAATGCGACCGCCATTTTCGATCCTCCCTATTAATTTTTTATGTTTTTCTTGCAAACTTGTAATCAGCGTCCCCGAGTGATATGTGATATTTATTTAGTTAATAAACTACTGCTCTAATTATGGCCAAAAAATCTCTGGCCCTAGTCTATCGTACCACAATGAGTTTGTGTTTTATTTCATTTTAAGGTAAAACAAAATCGTATTATAATTTATCTATCTACGCCATTTGGAATTTTCATGCTTTAATATGATGACAACTGTTTAAGATAGTATAAATATATAAATTAGTTTGTCTCCCATAACCACTTGATATTAAAATATATGAAACAAAAATAAAATATAAACAATACATGTTTGGATCTAAAATAAGCACACACACTCGTCTAAATATCCATTCAAAATTATCCACACACTATTTGGTTTTGTTGTTATTCCGGACATTGACCTCAAACTCTATCAAACACTAATCAGGCAATGTGACAACAAAATACAACAAATACATTAGCTACCAATACTTACCACTGTTTGCCCTTGAACTTGGTCCAAAAATAGCTGCAACACCCATATCTAATAAGTCGCATGCTAGAAATAGTGGCGGCAAAAATAATTTTCACTTTCAAACAAATTATCTCCAATTATTCAATTCAAAAAAAAAAAAAATAAATAAATAAAATTTAAGCTAACATCAAAACAAAATGGGCCACGAACCATACTTTTCAATAAACATTGTGCTGTCGTAGGTATTTAATCTCATGACGATTGGCTGTAGTAAAAATTCATCCTTGCTCAGGGTGTTTACGAACTCAATCGATTGCACAAAGGCTTCCTCAATTTCGAATTCATTGTCGTAGAACAAAGCACCTGTTATTTTGGGAAATGTTTCAATACAATTATTATTTTTCATAATTTTATTTGATGTTGTAAACAGAACACCACCTATTTTGATTTGGGGAATTTCTGGAAAATTCATTTGACAGTTGACAGCTGCCAGACACAATAGTAATACAATAAATTTCATGTTTTTTTTTGGGGGGGGGCTTTTTGTTATATTAAGAAATAAATTATGTGAACTTGTCGTGTCGTAAATTATGTGAACTTGTCGTTTCCTTCGCGCGCACACACACTTCGGTCCGTACACAATCGAATCTTGCGACTAACTAAATTGAAAATTTTGATAAAAACTTTTTTTAGGATATTTGGTAGTTTTTGTTTTTCGAAGTAAAACATTTGTTAATAAAATCATATTTACATTTCATTCATTTAAGAGACGATCGCCTCTCTTTCGTTTTAGGAACAGTATTTGTTGAAACATTCACGTTTGTGTTTGGATTTTTTTAGGCAAACGCCAGCTATGGAAATTTAGATGTTTTGAAGATTTTAGCCATCATTCCATTCGGAATGGATATAATTTGCATTTTATGTGTTCAGAGTAGAAAATATGTCCACGGAGAGAAGTACCGATATACATCTACACTTTAGTTAAAACTCATATAGATACTAAATTGTGGATGTACTTTGGCATATGAAAATAATAAATATGGGGCCACGTTTTGGTCCTCAAAATAACAGCCCTATTTTCGGCATATTAATGCTTTTAGACGCACTTACCAACCGAAGTTGTTGTTGATGGTTGGCTTGTCTGATTATTGGAAAGTGAAGTTGAAGTAAGAACGTTGACTCAAAAAAAATAAAACTTTCTTCAATTCCCTGAGGATGATTGGAGAATCTAATCGAAATATTGGAAACAATAAATATTAAAAATCAAAATTAAAAACGATTTTTACTTTTAAAAAGCCTACATCCAAACTAATACAACAAAGAAAGTGAAATATTCATTTTCGAATCTATGAAATATATGTATTCTTGATCAGCGTAAATTTGTAAGATCAAGGAGGATGAAATTTGGTACAAGTGCTTATTATGGGCCTAAAGAGCAACAGACAGAAAATTGGATAGATCGGACCAAGATTTGGTATACCTCCCATATAGTGGGTCTTGAAAATTTTACCCTTTGGCCTATAAAATCTTTAATTTTCAACAAAATTCAATGAAAATTGACAATTTTTATCTACTTGTGTCTGGAAAGCGACTGACAAAAAATAGATCGGACCAAGATTTGGTATACATCCCATATAGTGGGTCTTGAGAAATTCAAACTTTTTGGCTTAAAAAATCTGTAATTTTCGACCAATTTCAACGAAAATTGGCAATTTATATCTACTTATGTCCATAAAGAAACTGACAAAAAATGAATAGATCGGATCAATATTTGGTATACCTCACATACAAAGGGTGTTGCAAATTTGGACGAAGACAATAATAAGTGCTGCAATTTAGTTGTTTGTTTAGTTGACGTTTCAGAACGCTTACCATACAAATGACCCTGAATAGGCAATAATAAGTAACTATTCTATACCATTAAATCACTATTTACCACTATATTTATACCCTACACAACTATGTTGTCAGGGTATTATCTCTTTGTGCAGCCCAAAAAGTTTGTAACGCCGTGAAATATTGGTCCTAGACCCACCTTCGAGTATACCGATCCTCATACCTCGACTAGCTGAGTCGATCTAGACATGTGTGTAAGTCCGTCCGTCTGTTCATTATAATTTGTAAACACGATACAGCCACAGTTATGGGTCAATCTTCACGATTGGATGGGATCTGGGCAATGAAGACCCCTATTGTTTTTGGAAGAGATCAGTTAATATTTAGGGGATGAAATGGACCAAAAACTTTATTTTTGTCGGCTTTTCTGGTCGCTCCAGAGGCCGCAATTATGGCCCAAACACCGCGATTTTGTGCATGGAGAAGGGGATTGGGCCAAAGAATAAGGATGCCTGTTATGATAAAGAGCGGTCAATATTTAGCGGGACAAATGGACCCTGACTTTCCTGAAGGATATAGACCCGAGAAATCGGTAGTGTATCGAAGATGAGTTGTTGACCTTTAAATTGATACCAATTATATGGTCGTATGTACTCGTATGTAAGAGTTACACTTAAATATTTACAGGTGCTTACATATTCATATATTATTTATTAACCGATGATCGCTTTGTAATTTTCCATGAGATTCCCGTTATGGTCAACGACAACGCCTATAATTTTCGATGATGATCAGATAATAATTCGACTATATCTCCGCTTCTGATAACTTTTATGGTATGCATAACATATTCAATCCTTAACTTCTACCTATTTCATGAATATGTCATATTTATAATAAGGTGGTCATTAAAAAAACGTAAATAACATTTAAGTCCGCAAGTCCCCGCAGCTAATTTTTGAAGAACACCCTTTTCACAACTCAAATAAAAAATAATTAGGACGAAACCTTTTTAAACTTTTTTGTTCTACTCCACTAATTTAAAAATTTGCTTTACACATTTTATGAACTAAGTACTATTTACATAAAAACAAGTGTAAATCCTAGTTTTAACATCTCAAGCAATCGAAATAAACACTTTTAAAATAACCGTTAATTTAAATATTTAAAGATTTTAGCATCAGAAAAATGTACCCATTTTTCAAAAAAAAAAAAAATAATAAGGAAAGCAGTAGTTGGGCGGGGCCGACTATATGATACCCTTCACCGCTTTGGGTATATTCAACAGAAGAATGCTAACAGACGTCGAATTCTGCAAACTATACTAAATTTCTCATTTGTTCAGATATAGGGTTGCCTCTCACAATGGACAAAATTGCTTAAAATCGGGAGAAAATATCTATAGAAGCTCTATCCAAATCTGAACCGATTTCAAAACTTTAGTACGTTGTGCAAAATTTGTTTCAATTTTGTGTAAAATCGGGCGAAAATATATATGTAGAAGCTATATAAAATCTGAACCGATTTCAATGAGAAAGGCAGAGGTTAACTTATATTAACTACAGTTTATTGTACAAAATTGTGTGTCAATCGGGCAAACTTTGGGTCTTTAGGGCACAATTTACATAAAATCGAAAGAAAAAATATATAGGAACTATACAGAACCGATTTTCAAGAAACTTAATACACATCACTCCAGACTCATTTCAGTACACTATGCCAAATTTTGTGCAAATCGAAATATGTATAGGGACTTTGGTACAACATTTACCTTAAATCGGATGAAGATATATATGGGAACTATATCTAAATCTGAATCGATTTTCACGAAACTTAACATACATCATTCTAGACCTAATTCATAACGCTATGCCAAATTTAATGTAAATCGAAAGATATATAGGGACCTTGGTACACCATTTACCTTAAATCTAGACCTAATTCATAACGCTATGCCAAATTTAATGTAAATCGAAAGATATATAGGGACCTTGGTACACCATTTACCTTAAATCGGACGAAAAAATATAGGGGAGCTATATCTAAATCTGAACCGATTTTCAGGAAACTTTAAACACATCATTCTAGACTTCATTCTGTACGCTATACCAAATTTAATGTAATTCGAAAGATATATAGGGACTTTGGTGCATCATTTACCTTAAATCGGATGAAGATATATGTGGGAGCAATATCTAAATCTGAACCGATTTTCAGGAAACTTAACACACATCATTCTAAACCTAATTCATTACGCTATGCCAAATTTCGTGCAAATCGAAAGATATGTAGGAACTTTGGTACACTATTTACCTTAAATCGGACGATGATATATATAGGAGCTATATCTTAATCTGAACCGATTTTTCCCAATTTCTATAGTGTTCCTCCTTGGGCAAATTAAGTAACCTGTGCCAAATTTCATCCAAAGCGGATCATAAATGCGACCTGTACTTTGTTAACAAAATTACATGGACGGACGGACAGACGCACGGACGAACATGCATAAATCGACTCAGAAAGTGATTCTATGTATGTTCTCAAAAGGAACCATGGGTCTATCTCGATTATTTTTGCCTGTTACAAACATATGCACAAGACATAATACCCTGTACCACAGTGTGGTGAAAAAAAAAAAACAGTTTGCCAACAATTATCAGATTTGAACCCCTATATAACCAAATTACTTGACGTATCAATACCAAATTTTACATATATTCTACTTAGAGTGTTTTCTATCAATTCTCATCAACAAATTTGTTCTCCGATGAAGTTGCTTTTCACCATTTTTGGCCGCGGTCGTGGCACTGTGTGTTATAGCTCGTAACGTTAGAGTTTGATCTTTAAACTTTTTCTATTATTCCTAGTATGTTTAGTATTCATTGAGTATAAAATCCCCTCACTAAAAATTATCAATATTGGCTCATGTTTCGAGGTAGCTCCCATAGAGCGGTACTCCTTAATATGCGATATGTTTGGGACTGTTTTAACCGCATTTTGCTCCTAAATGGACTACAGTTTTACATTCCGGGTTCTGGACTGGTAAAACACATTTATCCAGGAAAAAATATATATGGGCAATATTGCCATACACATTATATATATGGATTTACTAAGATTCGCGAGTACAACAATCCTATAAATAAAATTATTGATTGCGCACTGAAACTAGAAGTAAATTTCAAAAAACACTCAAAGTCGAGTTTAAAAAATGTCTGCAACGTTTAATAATAACATTTTCGAAAAACAATACATAAAGGACGTATTCCCCATTGTGTATGCTTCTACTTTTACTTTAGCACGAAGACAGTGAATGGCTTAGCCACAAAGCGAGAAAAAAACATAAAAAAAACTTGGGTTGACTCACCCTGTTTTTACCCATTTTATACCTTCCACCACAGTATGGAGGGTAGCCATATGTTGTAATCATTCCGCCTCCTACGGATTTCAAGTACCTTTCAGTATACCTATGGTGGAGGGTATCCAATGTTCGGACCGGTCGTTTTTTCACTTGTTTTACATTAAAGTAGACACAGCTTCCACGAAAAGAAACTTTCAATATTATGAAAAGTTTGCAATGACAGATCAATAAATCCAAAACTATTACATTTTTCTCATGTATTTTATCAGCGTTGCATGTGGGATTTAAGACTCTTATCTTAAAAAACTCCAACGATCAAATCTTCTGCAATACAAAATTCTGTTCAAAGTATTTTGAACAGCCTATATAGGTCAATACATGGACATAGTCCCCATGTGTTAGAAACATTTTCCACCTAAAGGCTGTAATTTTAAACATTAATCTTCATATGTTAGAATAAAAACCCAAATGTGTATTTCTTGGAATACCTTATTGCCATGTTTCCCAATGTTTATTACATCAAAAGTCGGGGCCTTGGCTGATTTTAGATATATTTAATACCCACCTGGTGGGTATGGCAATTTCAACCTGGCAGAAATGAAGTGCTTTTTTAATGGTTTGAACGTGACTCCAACTCGTTTATATACCCAATTTAATTATTTATATGTAATGCAATATTATATTAATTTTTTCATCTTTATTTATAAGATTATTTCAAAATTCTAATAAAATATATATAAGAACAAAAAAATTGTGCGAGTATATACGATTAGATTTTCTTTATGGTATTAACAATGGCACTCTTCAAACTCTTGAAACTTCGAATACTCCTTATGCTTTTCATACTCTTCATACTTTTCCTTTCATCCATATCGTTTGTACCATTCACTCTATCCGAACGTATAGCATACGGCTTCGACGATTTGTCAGTACTACCGGATCGATGCGATGATGATGCTGTACTACAGGCAGGTGTTACAGGTTTCTTGTTATTCCAAACTTTTAGAACAAATTTCAGTTCCTTTGTTAGAGCTTCTTTAAATGTTAACTTTTCTTCAACGGCAACATGTTGGGCATAAATTAAAAACTCCGTAATGCCAACAACATAGGCTATGAACAGGCCAACATAAAGGGTATAAAATATACCTCGCACTTCGGTGAAATTTAAATCATTTGTTTCCGAATTGGCTTTGGTTTTTTGGGGACAACTTTTGTTCTCATTAACCCACCATTTTTTCTTCAATTCGAATAACTTTCCCAATTCACCAAGTTTAAGTATGGCAACACTTAAATTGGAGCGATATTCAGCACCTGGGAATTTATGAAAATGACATGAAAATTTATATTGGTAAAGGAATTTTAAGCAATATTTTTTATTCGAACTTACCAAACGGCACAGCAATGGCATAGTGTTTCTCTCCGAAAGTTTCGCCCAACATCTTCAATTTACAATTCCGTTCGGTATTGTACTCCAACGAGGTGGTTTCCATTAGAAACATATAGGAACCGTTATTTTTCAACACCCTCTCTACCCCTTCATTATTACTTTTCGTATAGACCGAAGGATCTTGTGACTGCATCATATTGTATGCCAAACGAAAGGCGGTTTCATTCGATTCCGAAAAGAATGTATAGGTACTGCCACCCTCAATGGTACCAAATTTCACTTCATTCTGTTTTGCCAAATCTTCAACGCCCTTAATGTCACCTTCCATTTTACTGTTGGTCAAGAAAGCCGCCAAATTAGCTGTATAGGAATTTGCAATGATTACAGCAAAAATCCACCACATGGCATTGAAAGTACGCATGGGAGCACTTCGTGGTAAGATGTCGCTGCCGGCTGTCATAATGGAGCCAATTGTCAGCCAGAAGACATTCGAAACATTCCAAGTATTTTCCAAAACTTCAGGATTTTTATTACAGGGATGGGGATTTTGCCATTCACCTTTCGATATTCTGGAATAAAATGTGATTAGATGTGACCCTTAACAGTTAACTTCCCAAAAGGGGTATTTCATAAAAAAATTAAATATTAACGATTCCTGGAAAGAGATTCTTTCTTACCTTGCCATAAATAGAAACAGAAATGCCATGATGAAAATCGAAAACATAACATAAATCCAAACTTCATTGGTAAATGGTTCCAAAAATGCATTCCAGGATTTCTGTTCAATTGGTTTTTCATAGGCCAAAATACTGATACCCAATTGCATAAAGGGCACCGTAAAATCCACAACAGTTTTACGTTTTTGAGTTATGGTCAGATCACATATACCCATATGAGCATCCTAAGTATCAAATATAAACAATATATGAATTACTAAATAAATAATAATACCCTGTACCACAGTGTGGTGAAGGGTATAAAAACCAGTAAGGAAAGTAGTAAAGTCGGACTGGACCGATTATATGATATCCTTCACCACTTTGGGTATATTCTTTGGGCATTCCTTCACCACTTTAGGTATATTTTGCATATGTATCCTAACAGACGCCGATTTTTCAAAAGACCAAATATGAACCGATTTCAAGGAAACTTGCCAGAGATTAATTTATAATAACTTCAGTACGTTGTGTCAATCGGCCTAGCTATAGGTCTTTAGTGTACCATTTACTTACAATCGGACTAACATACATCAAGGAGCTATATGTAAATTTGAACCGATATTCACGAAATTCTATCATTCTAGACTTAATTCAGTACCCTATGCCAAGTTTTGTGTAAATCGAAGGATATATAGGGATTTTGATGCACCATTTTTATTAGATCCGACGAAAATATATATGGGAACTATATCCAAATCCGAAGCGATTTTTAGACTTAGTTCATTCTAGACTTAATTCAGTACGATGTGCCAAAATGTATGCAAATCAAAAGATATATAGGGACTTTGGTGCGCCATGTTCGTAAAATCGGACGAAAATATATATGGGAGCTATATCTAACTCTGAACCGATTTTCATGAAAGTTATCACACATTATTCTAGGATTAATTCAGTACGCTGTGCCAAAATTCGTGCACATCGAAAGATATATAGGGACTTTGGTGCAGCATTTACACTAAATCGGACGAAACTATATATGGGAGCTATATCGAAACTTGCGAATGATATATAAGGATTTTAGTGCACCATTTAAAGTAAATCGGACGAAGCTATATATGGGAGCTATATCTAAATCTGTCCCGATTTTTACGAAATGTAACATACATCATTCCAGGCTTAATTCAGTACGTTGTGCCAAATTTCGTGGCAATCGAAAGATATATAGGGAATTTGGTGCACCATTTACCTTTAATCTGACGAAAATATATATGACAGTTATATGTAAACCTGAACCGATTTTTTCCCAATTTAAATAGTGTTCGTCCTTGAGCCAAATAAGTTATCTGCGCCAAATTTCATCCAAGTCGGATAATAAATGTGACCTGTACATTGTTTACAATTTAACATGGGCAGACGGACGGACATGCATAAGTCGACTTACAAAGTGATTCTACAGTCGACTCCGCTTTACTGAAATGGGAAAAAATCTGGATGTTTGTTTCAGTTATCCGATGTTTTCACTTAAGCGGAGTTCGGTTACCTGAAATTAATTTCAATTATCCGAACTTCTCATAAGCGAAAATTTTTTTTCAGTTTTAGAAATTTCATAATTCATATTTTATATAGAATTCGTAGCTATCAAATTTTATGAAAATAGACGACAGAAATTGAAACTGGATGGCATGGTCACTGCTTAAAGGATTTTTATTTATTAAAATTTGTTCATTATAGATTCATATTTGTACATTGTTTCTATTTAAAAATTGATTATCATCTAGAAGGCCTTAATAAAAACTTAGAGTAGTTAAAAGTGGACGACCTCTTCAAAATTGTGTTAATTATATGGGACCTCGTTTTGACATTTCCCCTATGAACGGTACATTCTGTAACATATTTTGGTACATCTTTGTTACTTGTATATAAAATGTAGAAATGCGGAACCGAGTTTTTTTTCGAATTTTTCAAATGGTTTTAAAAGTTTGGCCGAACGAACTTAACGTTCTTCGATGTCAAATTGATATATACTTTACACACACGTTCCATACGTCGGACAAATCATGAATTGCGGAAAAATATCTGTTAAGATAGGCTTTGAAGATGTGTATTCCTCAATGCAAAATATTCTGTCAATATCCTTCATTCTCACGAATTTCAGTAATGCGGTATGATTTAAAAGGAAATTGCAATATTTGACTCCAAAAGCTATTTCAGTTATCCGATATTTTCAGTTATGCGAAGTTTCAATTATGCGGTGTAAATTGTGAGCGATAAAATGTAATGGTGCAGGAAATCAATTTCACTTATCCGATATTTTTCAGTTAAGCGACTTACAGTAAAGCGGAGTCGACTGTATACACATTCTAAGCATATAATTTCAAAAACCCTATCAGTGTCTACCATCTCGTTTCCTTTTGCCTGTTACAAAAATAATCAAAATGTAAAACATTGGCAATGGCATGCGATGAAGGTATATAACGATCATTGCCGGTATAATTTCAAAAACTTTTTAGTTTGGTATGATCACATTATTTATTTTCCTTATTCAATTTACCATACGAATTATCTGCATAAATAATCAAAATGTAAAACCTATATAACGATTTTTTAGACCAAACTGTCCTCTGTACGGGGAGCTTACTTCAACATAAAATACGGTTCTCCAATACGTGTTGCCACTTTATAGACAATTTTTTTGATATTTGTCAATTCCACTACCTTTTGACTGATATGACCATCTGCTGTAGCTAAATAATTATCTACCGGTTCATAGATTTCCAATGTGAAATTTATTCGTTGGCCACCATCATCGAATTGCATATAGCTCATATGGAAGTGACTATCATCGGCGGAGGCAATCTAAGAAATATTGCAAATAATAACAATAATAATTTAAATAATTCAGGATAATTACTTCAATTAAGAATCGAAAAAAAAATTATAACATCATATGATTATGGGCGGTAAACGAACATATCGATGACTTTTGAGATATTATCCCGATTCATCAATTTCAAATTATTATTCATCCAGGTTTGATGAGGTCTTTAAAACCAATTCGATTATATTACTTACAAATTTCATAACACGATTTATATATAAACCCATTGGCCATGGATTTTCATTGCCATCTTCGTAGGTGTAAGGTATAGCCGGTGGATTGATTTCATACATGACACTAATATTTTTAACAGCTAAATAAAATAACATCACGGCATCGTGTATTAAATCCGGTAACAATTTCATAGTTGGTAAATCGACATCATTCCAAATATTTCCCTATAAATGAGAAATAAAAATTGTATTGGCTTTCCAAAAAATGATGACAAAATACACATACCTCTTCACTTTCAAGTTCACGTTGTCTCATACGTATGGCGGTAACATTAACAGCAAATGTTACATTGTCCCGTAGCTCCTCTAAACTTGCAACTTGAGTATCGAAATTTGTCAGGAATAAATGCTGGAATGAAGAAAAAATTAAAAAAAAAATAAAATAAAGAAAGTTCAACAGTCTGACGGGGCTGACTATATGATGGCCCTTCATCACTACTTTGATTTAGAAACGATCGAAAGTAGTGAACTAATTCCTGAGTCAATAAAAAGACGTATGTCTTTTATTTGTACTTATGTACAGGTCGCAGTTTTGATTCGAATTGGATGAAAATTGGCGCAGCTCATTTATTTGGCCCAAGGACGAACCCTATTGAAATTTGGAAAAATCGGTTCAGATTTAGATATAGCTCCCATATATATCTTCGTCCGATTTAAGGTGAATGGTGCACCAAAGTGGCTATATATCTTTCGATTTGCACGAAATGTGACACAGTGTACTGAATTGAATCTAGAATGATGTGTGGTGAGATTCGGGAAAATCGGTTCAGATTTCGATATAGCTCCCATATATAGTTTCGTCCGATTTTATGTAAATGGTGCACCAAAGTCCCTATATATCTTTCGATTTGCCCGAAAATTGGCATGACGTATTGAACTGAGCCTAGAGTGACGTCTGCCATGTTTCGTGAAAATCGGTCCAGATTTAGATATAGGCTCCCATATATAGTTTCGTCCGATTTTATGTAAATGGTGTACCAAAGTCCCTATGTATCTTTCGATTTGCACGAAATTTGGCATGACGTACTGAATAGAGTCTAGAGTAATGTTTGCCAAGTTTCGTGAAAATCGGTTCATATTTAGATATAGCTCCCATATATAGTCTCGTCCGATTTTATGTAAATGGTGCACCAAAGTCCCTATATATCTTTCGATTTGCACTAAATTTGGCGTAGCGTACTGAATTAAGCCTAGAGTGACGGCTGCCAAGTTTCATGAAAATCGGTCCAGATTTAGATATAGCTCCCATATAAAGTTTCGTCCGATTTTATGTAAATGGTGCCCAAATTCCCTATATATCTTTCGATTTGCACGAAATTTAGCATAACGTACTGAATTGAGCCTAGAGTGACGTCTGCCATGTTTCGTGAAAATCGGTCCAGATTTAGATATAGCTCCTATATATAGTTTCGTCCGATTTTATGTAAATGGTACACCAAAGTCCCTATATATATTTTGATTTGCACGAAATTTGGCATAGAGTACCAAAATAAGCCCAGAGTGACTTCTGCCAAGTTTCGTGAAAATCGATCAAGATTTAGATATAGCTCCCTTATATTTTATCGATTGATTTTGAGTAATTGACGTACCAAGGAACCAATGTATGGTTGAT